AGAGCGGCAGTTATGATGCTCTGATGTTTCTTGAGACCCATGGATTTCCTATATCCCTGATGTGAGAGGCACCTGCAGGATGCCTGAAGTCAACTTTTAGTCTAACCCCATAGGCTGAAGTCTTGAAATCAGAGCTAAGTTGATTTTTTAAAAAAAATAGGTATTTTTAGACACATGAATTTATGAGTTGAGATCCGACACATTACAGAGGCTCCAATGGATTCTTAGAGATCACGTGATCTAGGTGTTCCATCTCTCTTGCTAAACAAGACTATACATTTCTCAAGGGTTTATATCCCAACAGATAAAGGCTCAATTAAAGAGTGTTGATACTGTTGAGAGACTGAAATTAAATTTCATGCCTAAAGGGGACCTTAGCAGGTTTCTGTTACATTTGATGAAAACTGGCATTAACCAGATAGTAAAAACTTAATGCTTAGCCTTAAGGAGATTACATCTTAAAAGTGGACAGAGATGTATAAAGGGAACATTTCAATTAAATATGTAATCAGTAAGTGAAGGTATCTACTGGTACTATGTAAGGACTGTTAAGAGACAATGTGATGCCTTACATGAAAGGTTGGGGAGAAATTAAGTAGGATCCTAAGTCAAATCTTAATAACAAAGGCCATAATGAAACAAAGGATCTTCCACCTCAAATGTCCAAGGTTTCTCTCCTCTGAACTCCTATCAACACGAAATATACCACTTACTTCCCTTTACCATATTCTCCATTGTCATAATTTTCATTTGTTTTTCTCACCTTTCAAGAGAAAATGCCATGGAGAATAGGAATCCTATTTTATTTTCTTGCAGAATTCCCACAGGACCTGGAGGTCTTGAACATAAGAGACACTCCGTAACTTGGGATTTGGTCTCCTGTGTAGTTCTCATCTTACTCACCAGGAGAAACACATCTGTTGCTAATGACTAACTCTGCCAGTTGGCCTGAGGCCCACAGAAGAAATCAAAATGAAAACTGGAACACAACTCATTAAGTAGATTCTCTACAGTTTTTATCACCATATCTATTATTAGTCATTTTTTAGTGTCGTTTACAACATCTCTTATAGTTACTGATAACTTTTCAATCCTATTAATGAGAAGTGTGGAGGAAACTGAAAAAATGTCAGATCTTGGTACCGGCCACGCAACCTGTGAATTGTGTGATCTTAGGAACCTCACTGGCCTGTAGAAGCCTCAAGCTCTTCTGTTGTGAGCTAATTGAGCTCTCATGACAAGTATGTCAGATATGCAAAAAACTATTAGGAAAAGATTAAAATGCAACTTAATGGTAACTATTGAATAAGCAACTCTTTTGCTCTAATAAAGATGACAGAGATTCTATAAAGAAAAAAAGGCAGAGTCCTTCTTTTACATACTTCACCCTTACTTGGTGTCATTTTTCAAAATGGTCTTCTCTAATTTATTCAAGTCTCATAAACTATCTCTCCCAGTAAGGTAGGAGAGATTTTTGGAGAAAAAAAAAAAAAAAAGATCATTTTCTTAGTGTTGCAAGTTTTGGCTAGGACTCAAAAAATCCAGACTTCAAAAAATGTATCAATCTTCACACTATTTTCTGGTTAATGTGTTGGCCACATGACCATGTGTCTTGAAGAGAGGGGATGAGCATGCTGTCACCCACTTGGGAGAGTGTCTCATCTTGAGATATGACATAAGCCAGGTCCTTCAAGTGGGGGTGCAGTAGAGGGTAAGCACTGCTTGCTCTCTGGTCCAGAAGTAAAGGAGTCCAAACCTTCAGCAACATAGTGTTTCTGAGAGTGAGCCAAGGGGAGGCAGGCCAGATGGGAGTGACAAACCTACCTCTGCTTTTCACTCATGGCAGAACATATCCATGCAGCAACAGAAAGATGACTGCAATTTTAGGGAGCGTCCGGCCTCTATCTTCTTGAATCGCTCCTTGATCTAGCTCTCTAAGGGTAAGGGTAAGAGTGAGGTATAAGTGAGGTGTAAGAATGTCCAAGATTGATACCCTGACTGCAAGGACAGTCCCTCCTCTGGGGCCGCAGTGGGACACACAGGGAGAGCCAAGACGAGGGGTGGCAGAGCCCAGAGCGGCTGTCTCATGAGCGTCACTAGTAAGAGAGGTTATAGCATGGCGACACAGTGAAAAATAAAGAGTAAAAGAAACGAAGGGACTTTTTTCTAGAGCTTTCATGAAATTGCAGGGAGGATACTATGAGTCAGGTTGGCCACTGGTTGAAACAACACGAGTTCATTTTAACAAGGTGGGTTTAAAAAACGAGTGTAGAGGCGCTTGGATGTCGTTAAGCGTCTGCCTTCGGCTCAGGTCACGATCCCGTGGTCCTAGGATTGAGCCCAGTATTGGGTATTGGGTTCCCTGCTCAGTGGGGAGCCTGCTTCTCCCTCTCCCTCTTTCTGCTGCCCCCTACTTGTGCTCTGTCTCTCTCTCTCTCTCTGTCAAATAAAGTCTTTAAAAAAAAAAAAAAGAGTGTAAAATCACTTGACATCAGAGGCTAGGTCAAGTCTCCATTACTAAATTTATACAATTACTTAAAAATTGTGTTGAATCTGCATTGCCAATTGGTATTGCTAATAATGCAAATTACTATGTACAAATATGTATTTATTATATATGAGGAGGTACAATATATTTTCTCTATTTTCCCTATTTGAGACACACTTTGCTAAATCAGTGACAGTGATCTCTATAAGTTTTTACACATGCATACAAAACACGAGGTCACTGTACAATTATTTTAAAACAATTCTTATTAAAAAAATGGACATGAAAAAAACATATCTACATTTTTTTCTCTTTCTCTACATTCTCAGTCTCCACATATATGTCCATACACACACACACACACACACACACACACACACACACAGAGTACACAGGATATCAAAGAAATTAATGAAGATATCGTAATGGCAATAAAACTTTTAACAGCTTAAAGGAAACTAAAATTAAGAGGAAGTTTTACATTTAAGTTTTATTTATGGGTCAAAGGAAATAAAGAGACCACAATTTTCAATTCATATGTTGAGAAAGATAGTTGGAAAAGAGAATATATCAAAAAAACACTAGAGGAAAAATCCCCAATCTACCAAACTGCTATTCACCGCAGTCACAGATCTATGCAGATGAGTAGCATTACTAATTATTAGTGATAAAGATAAACAATTTACATATTATATATTTTATATGTTAAAATAATATCAAGCAGTAGCCTCAGAGTTGAAAGTTTGTTGCTATTAAGGAACTAAAAGTGAGTGAAAGAAAAATGAATTCTATTTAGGCAACATACATACATTTGGGGAAAAGTAGTGGTATGCATAACCCCATGATTAACCAAATCTTTTAATACCCATTAAGATTCCCAAGTTAAAGCCAAGAATATGTGGTCTATAACTGCTCGTCCTGGCTGTCTCATGAAAACATACTGCACCGATCTTCAGTTCCTGATTCATGGTAGAACTTACGGATATTCCCACTGGGATACTCAAAATTCTTAATTTGTTTACACATTTTGGCTTCTTTCCAGATTTTATGTGAACAGTAACTGATCCAAGAAACAAACAGGCGGAAATGTCTTTGAATAGCATTCTTTTACTATCAGGTCATACATACCTCCATTCAGTATAACAGGGAACTGAATTCCTGAACTGGGCAGTTCAATAATACATTTTTAACACTCAGGGGGGATTAAAGAGAATGATTTCCTATTCAAACAAGAAAAGAAAAAGGAACTATGAACTTAACAGGGTCTTAAAAACACACACAGGATGGAAGAGAAATTCCTTCAAACTATTGAAAAAATTAGTAACATGCAGATTTTATCATCCATTTCCTTCTCCGCAAAGGGATGTTTTGTTACCCACTTAGACCGAAGAGCTTGCCTTCAACCAAATTAAGGGCGCAGTTGTAAAGAATAAGAAAGGGGAAAAAAAGAAAAACCTCACATACCAACAAACCAAACAATTTCAATAGCCCATTTTATAATGAGGTCGAACAAAGAACAAAATGGATAGCTCCAAAATGGCAAAACTCCAGACAGTTAATCTTCAAGATGCTTTGCCAAACCTTATCCAAATAACCCAATTATTACAGTCTACGGACTAGTGGAAATTCTTACAAAATTGGCTTCCTTGTGGAACCTCAAATCATGTCTCCACTCAGGTCAAAAATTCACTAGGAATGCCTTGGTGAAGTTTTTGCCTCTGGGCTCAACTGTAATTTTGCAAAATGGAAAATGAGGGAATGCATCCAGGTAAAATTCTGGATGTGGATTTATAACATTTTTATTTTTTTTTTAAACTGTAAGTAAAGAACAACCGTTTCTAGTCATAATCTAATTCCCTGAAAAACTGTCCTCAAGAGTCAGAAATTCTGCGTTCCCAAACCCAGTTTGGCCTTCAGCGTGCTGGGCCACCGAGCGTTCCTTAAACTCTGCACGTGCCTTTTTGCAACTGTCATGTCACAAGGTTGATCCAGACCTACCTCACAGAGACCCTGCAGGGTTAATGAAGGCTAAATTGGGAGAAAGAAATGCATTTGACAAGTCAGGCTTTATCTATGCTGCTAAAGAAACCCAGATGTTGTAACAACCGCTCCGGTTATCTGGTAGCATCCTCAACCAAGGAGAGAACGAATTTACATAATGCATGTCAGCTGTGAAGACATTTTTAAAAATCAAAGATTCCAGGATTTCAGATGGTAAGAGAAAACAATCTGGCTCCTCTCAGGTCTAGCTCATTGCACTGGACAGCATTCTCCCCCATATCTTCCCACTGAGCAAAAATTGTGATATATGCTTTGGACTGTCTAATGGAAGGGGAAGGCTTCGTACTTTTGTCATGCCCAGGCATTTTTCTAGAATTTCCTTTCTCCCATAAACACGAAGAATGGATTTCTACTTCTCTCTTCACACTGGTTTGTGTTGCTGGGACACAAATGGCTCTACGCAACTCTGGTTCATCAAGGAAGTACTTACTTCTACTTTTTCATCTTACACGTTTGTTACTCAAGTATGTCTGATCATTCACTGCCCAAGGGAACTCTTATAACTTTAGAGCCTACAGAGATGGCACTGATAGCAACTGTGTGTCGCTACCAGTCCTTGTTGATTTCACTGGCCTATACAGATCCAGGGATGTTCCAAAATATGTTTGGGGGTTGCGGGTCGTGATGGGCAAAGGAAAGGAACACTACACAAACAATGAAAGACAGTGGGATGGAGCCTTTTTTTTTTTTTTCCTCTTGCTATTTAAGAAAAAAAAAAAGATATTTGAGATTCCCATCTTCAGGGGTCATTTTTTAAGGGATCTTAGAATAGCATGTTTTGTAATATTGCATTGTGCAGTGTTTAGGAATATAAGCTCTAAAGTGAGATAAGCCTAACTGAATCTCATTTCTCCCACTTGCTGCTTGGGTGAGTCTGAATATGGTTTTTGTTTTTATTTTTGTTTTTTTCTTTTTTGGTTTCTTTTTTTCTTAAATAGAGAATGGTATAGTACCTAGTACACAAAGTTATTACAAAGAAAAAACAAAGATACATGCAAAGCATGAAGAACGGTTTCTAGAACAATAGCAATCATTCAATAAATGTTAGCCACTTTTATTATTATTTTAAGTGCCTGTATTTTAACTCAAAATCATCTTAGGCCTAAGAAAGTTTAAACTCTTTTGTAAATTTTTCTAAAACATTCAGGTCTATTTTTCTCTTTTCCTAAGGAGGTAACCCTTTTTTTTTTTTAGGCTCAAGTGGTTTATAAAACCTATAAAAAAGACTACACCAGCAAAGTCCCCATTAATTTGTAGAGTTCAGAAACTAAAACAAGGAGCAACATTTTAGCTTAAAACCTTATCTCAAGAGAATCATATACACTTCACATGAATAAAAATACCTGAAACCAAACACTTTTAAAAGCTCCAATACCCAAAGTATAAAGAAAAAAATTAATTCAGAAGACTCAATCAATCCATGGAATCACAAAACAGCTGGACAATCTGTATCTCCCCTCCACACTAACCATCCCATGGAAGACCAAGGGAGATCAGACCTTCCAGACCTATGCACCACCTGGTTGTTGCAAAATTCTGTGTAGATTCCTTGTGGAACAGCAGTTTCCCATCTCGTGTCTCTCCCTATCACGCAGGAAGCAAGTCTGGCTGTGCTATTCTATTAACGTTTGTCACCCATCTGCAACATGATACCGTACAGATAAGCAAAAGTACATTATCTAGTTCCCTTTCCCCAGAAGGTTGAGGCTCAGGTATAGGGGCAATCTCCTGTGCATAGTCTTTATTTAGGCTGACTCAGTGACTTCAACAGGCTTAATCATGTGATCAGGTTTGTTGCCAGCTGCATAGTGCTCCCACATCTGTAGATAGAGCCGCTCTAGTTCCATTGTGTATTGTTTGGTGTTGAACAGAGGGCTAGATATTCTCTGCTTCCACACTTTGCCACGAATTTTCTTCAGGTATTCTAGGTCAGTTCCCAGTTTCACAGCTATGTCTTCATATTCTTGTCTATTTTTAGCAATAAGCTCAAGACAACCTAAACAAGTGAGCTGGGAAGCTGCAACTCGAGAAGCAAGAGTCTCTCCTGGCATAGTGACCATGGGTGTTCCTGCCCAGAGAACATCCATCCCTATTTTTCTCTTTCCAAAGGAGGTAACCCTCGGAACCTTCTCATACTTTGGGATCACGACTCTGACCAACAATTCTCCTCATAAGCACTCTGCTTTAAGCAACATGGGCATCTCTGGATACATCCCACGCTCTTAAGGACAAATACGTCATGCACCTACAAAGGGCTTCTCTCCTTGACTACCACTTGGCGTGCAACAAAAAGTTTCAGAACTCAATATTAGCAAAAAACAAGGAGCATTTATTGAGCTCACCTGTCTGGTGGAGGTCACCTCAACTGGCCTAGGGAGCCCTGCTGATCTCAGCTGGGCTTCTTCATCTGTTGGTTGATTTAATAGCTGGAGATCAACTGATTGGGGCTTTTGTTTTCCTTTCGGAGACACTGGGCCGGGTAGGACATGTTTCTCTCGAGGTGGGGGCAAAGCGGAAAGTGGAAAGGAGCAAGCAGCGACATGCAAGGTCTCTCGAGGCTAAGCTCAGTCATGCACAGCCACTTCGGCCTCACCCTACTGGTCAGAGCAGGTTACACGAGGAATCTCAAAGTCAACAACTGCACATACATTCCTCCCATGGAAGCTGAGTGGCGAGAAATAACATTTCTGAACCAGGATTCAATCCACTATGCCCATGCAGACATTGTTACGTGATCACAATACTCTTTTCCACTTGTGACTGATGAGAGCTTTTATATCCTTAACGACCACTGTAACTGCTAGGAAACAGGCTAAATATGAGGGGAAGAAGAAAAAAAATCTAAATGAGACTTCTGATTTTGCAGATTTTTAATATATCCTACAGAATAATAAATCTGATCTTGAATTCTATCTGTAATATAAAACATCACATTGTAATTCTTTTGAGATTACATTATATTTATTTCATTGTAACTGAGTTAGGATAAAATATATATATATATATATATATATATATATATATATATATACACTAAATATCAATGATAATTGCCATTGGATTTTAAAATACCAGTTAGTATTTATTTATCAATCACTAATATTTTGTGTTAGGAAAGAATACACTGAGAATCTTTAATAGTGTGTTACTTTTCACTTTAAAAATGTATACATCTTTTACAATTTTGAAACTAAAAATGTACAAGAATATACATAAATGGTACAATGCCCAAACCATCCACACAGCTGGTTCTAATTCACTAATTTTAAACCATACTAATAAATCCTAAAATTATGTATATTTTTTCATTTATTCTGTTTATTTTTTAATTCAACTTTGAAAATAAGTCTGCTCTTCATCAAAATGGCTGTAACATTTTAATTCAAATATTTATTCTTCCTTGGCCTAATTAGCTTCAACTTTAAAAGGAAATAGAATTTACAGATTTAATATAAGAAAATGTTCTACTGCAACTTGATATTTATAAAATGATCATTATATTTATGTGTATTAAGTAAAATTTGATAATGATAACCAGCATGAAAAAAAAGAGTTTACCCATTAAACCAATGTAAAATGTTTGAAGTGACCACAGTAAGAATGGCTCTGGGTAGAATATAGGGGTCTAAGTCTTACCTGTAAATTCATATACTTGCAACAAGTTCTCTCTTAAATTGAGCAGTTTTATGAAAAAAAAAAAATTGTACCTCTTACCAATATGTCATGAACCAAACCACTGATCACACTGTTAAATTCCACAAAAGTCTAACTAAATTACATTTAATTAATTAGCAAACATTACAAAAGTAAATAGTCATTCACAAAATTTTGCACAGGTAGAAAACAATTTGAGCAATGCTGAAGCATAACTTACCATTATTTTAAAAGACATTTTAGAAAGTAAAGTGAAAATAGTTCCCATGAAAGAAGCAGTGATGGAAATTTACCAACAAAGTTGCCTCTGGATCTCTTCAACACTAAGAACAAGTTTATCCCTCTCTCTTGGCCAAAATTTTTCTCCATTCCCTTCACCCCTACCTGAAATTTCTGTATGTTTGAAAGATAACTGGAAAGTCACAGCTTCAGAACTTTCCTGTGGTCATTGGGATGGTTTGTCCTTCTTTGACCATTCCTCCAAGGTTCACCAGGAGCCTCTGGCTTATTTCCCAGAGCCTCTCAGTTGGATGGCCTTTGCCAGCATCATAATTAAACAGGGAGATGAGCTTCAAACTCATTTTCACTGGTCCTGAGTTTAATCTCTACCTTTTGTTACTAGGCAGTCACATGATTCTCAACAAGGTAGTTAAGATCACTGAACCTCAATTTCCATCTACACAATAAAGGATGTGGGGAGACTTTTTAAAATTATTTTCAAAGCTGACAATCACTTTGTAAACTGTAAGGAAAAAAATCAACTGCTATGATAATGGTGATGATAACAATAGTGATTATTTCAGTCATAATTTAATATTTTATTACCTAAAATCTCATTATACTAAATATTCCCCTTGCCTAGGGTAAAGTCATTAGTCATCGCTTCCAGATAAATTCTTGTCTGGCTTAACAGACCATTAATAATTTGAAATTTAAGGTAACTTAACCAGCACTCAATCCATATAGTAATTTTGCTGTGCCGTAGACACAGTTTTTGCCTTTTACTCAAAACCACCTTCTCTTTAAAACCCTGACAATATTTTCCTATTTGCCTTTATAACCACTTTCGAATTTCTTAAAACAGTTTCACCTGAAGACTTCAGAAGGTGCAGGGGTGGACCTTTTCACAACACACTCAGCCCACTACCTTAACAATGACACAGACGTTCTAGCCAGAAATCTACACATTGCCCACATACTTTCACTGTCACAATTTTGAATTAAATCATTTATAATTTTTTATCCTCCCTAAAGAAAGAGAAAGAAAAAAAAGCGGCAAGCCCAGGAATTTAGATCTAAGCTACACTGAAATAATGCATTTCATTTAGGAGAATGAACTGAAGCAATTACTTCATGTCCATTATATTCTACTATTACTTAAATGTAAAATACAAACTCTCCTACTGATATAGGTCCTAGATAAAAACAGGGAAAATCATCCAACATGTTAAGAAGAGATTTCATAGAAATTCTTCCAGTTTATTTTTAACTGGTAACACCTCATGCAACTTTTATAGTTTCCACAAGTAACCTAAGCCTTGGAATCTGACCTAATGTGATTTCATAAATGTAAAAATAGAATAAAAGCTATTGCTAATGATAGTATATATATTTTTTGCAAAATTTAATGGAAGGGAAAATCATTTACACTTTTAAGATGTACATACCAGTAAAAATTTGAAAGAGTAAGAACTTGATTTTAAAAGACTTTAAAAGGATCAGAGTACCTGGGTGGCTCAGTCAGTTGAGTCTTACTCTTGATCTAGCTCAGGTTTTGATCTCAGGGTCATTGGTTCGGGTCCTGGATTGGGCTCTATGCTGGGCATGGAGCCTACTTAAATAAAAATTAAAATAAAAAAAAGACAGCAGTATCTATATCAAAAAATAATTTACAACTCTCTACCTTTCAGAAAAGACTAAGTTGGGACTGACCAAAATAATTTCACTTTTATGAAGATTTCTGGTCTTCTTTTAAGTATAGGCAGAAAAATCAGAAACTTTCTAAAATAAGTCAAAATTATTTTTCATAAACCAAGGAAAAACACAATTTTAAAACAGAAAAGCAGGAGGGAACTAAATCTCCTTTATGGATCTAGAGTTATGTGAGCCCAACAGTGAAAATATTTGAACCAGAGTTCCCTGTTATCTATTTTTTTAAGGTGTAAAAAATCAGAAAACAAGTCAAAATATCACCTGGTAAGAGGACAATTTTAGAATTAAAAATAATTCTAATTTTTTTTTACTAGTTTTATGATAGTGTGATTTGCTAGTTAACACAGAAATAAGATCATAGTTGAAGTTTTCTAAATTTTCATTCCTAGGAGGATTAGCTCACCCGTCACATTTTCTATTTGATTTTTCATGCCTTTGCAGAAGATTATGTAAAGGTTATTACTTTCCATTTGCATATTTTCTGATTAATTTATATTGGACATGCACAAAAGTGTTTTTTTCCACACAGATATAAACACGGATTCATTTCTATAACCCAAACATCACATTCTACAAATTGTGAGACATGAAGGACAACTTAAACATTTTACCATATGCAGTAGGGAGGGAAGAATGGCAGAGATGCCTAGGTAAATGTTTCTAAAAACCCACTACGTAATTTTCTCTGTGTTCTTCATGCTATCAGTAGTTGACCAACAAGTCCAGAATTTCTTTCTTTGATTAAAGTGGTAATAATCGCGGCTCCTTCCCTTAAACTTGCTTGTAGCTTCTGCTCATCCTGGAAATAAAAAAGGATTAAACTATAATTATTTTAAAAAGAAAATATGTCACACATTAAATTTAATGGTTTCTTTACTCTTTTAATATTTCTTCATTTTTAGGTTTTTTTTCCCCAGCAGCTTTATAGAGAGATAATTGACAGGTAACATTATGTAAGTGTGAAGTGTACAATGTAATGTTATGATATACCTATGTGTTATGAACTGATTACTACAAAAAGATTAGTTAATCCATCACCTCATACAGTTACCATTGAGAGGGTAGTGAGAGCATTCAAGATCTACTCTCTTAGCCACTTTCAAGTATACGATATTAACTATAGTCACCATGCTATATATAATCCCCTTACAACTGGAAGTTTGTACTCTTTGATCAACATCTTCCCAATCAGCCTCTCTCAACTACTATCCTCCTGTTTTTATGAAGTCAGGGAGACACTTTTCAAGGTCCCCTGCTCTCTGGACTTGGCATTCTATGGAACTCAGACCAGTCACTGGTATGTACGTGGTCCCTCCAATAAAGGAGAAATGCTTTTGCAAGCACTTTTCATTATATACAAAATGTATCTCCTGCAGATACCAGGAAAACACTGACACACTTTCAAATGCTAGCAGCATGAAACAAAAGAATTCCCCTTAATCCTGTATCTGACCAACTCTGGCTCTTCATACAAGTGTGAATATTTCATCAATGATATAAGCCTTTCCTTCATCTTTCTGAGTGCTCCCCAATAAGAGACTTTGTTATAAACTGTGAACACCAGTCTGGGAGGAAAAATTAAAAAAAGGCTTGTTGTTTGTGAAGTAAGGTCAGGCACATTAGTGAAATGAGTTTCTCACAAGTTGCTAAAATGTGGTTTTGCCTGTGAAATCATATTGCTTATGAATATATGTTTACTCCAACTGTTTAGGTTTTTTGAGAGGGATGAAGGGATGATAATATGAAGGGGAAGGGAAAGTCAAAACAGAGCTAATATCTTTAGAGTCTCTGTATTATGAATTGTGCTAGGTTCAAAAAGAGGGACCTGGTAATCAAATTCTAAATGCTGACTTCATCCTCAATACCCTTTCCTAGTGTTAGGTGTATCACCAGTACCTACTGCGTCTACCTTCTTAACATTTCTTGAATCCATTTACTCCATTCAAATTGGTGCTGCCAGGAAAACATCTCTATCCTAAATTACAGGAACAATCTCGTAAACAGTCTCTCTGAAGTCTTGTCCTTTTCTGCCCTGTTTCCCACACAGCAGTCAGAATACTTATTTTAACATAGAGATCTGATCACATCACTACTCTGCCTAAAATCCTTTCAAGGCTACCTCCGAACTTCAGGATCAAGTCAGAACTCTTTACCTTTTTATCTTTCCAACCTCTTCCTGTCATTCCCTTATATTCACTCAATTCCCCAAGCCACACAGAACTGCTTAAGATTGCCCAAACAAGGTAGTTTTCTTAACTTCCACTCCTTTGCACCAGCGAATCCCTTTGCCAGGAAAGCTATCTCATACCCTTTCTAGCTTAGCTGACCCTAGTTATTCCTTGTGGTTCCACTCAGTTATCATTGGTTGCAATCTACCTGGACCCAGCCCCCAGCCTAGATGGGTGAGGCAACTCTCTGTTTCCACAGCTATTAATTACTCCAGCACACTGAATTCTAATAGTCTTTTTAGTTGACCATCTATTCCACCAGATGATGAGTTTCTTTATGTAAAGAATTTTTCATTTTGTCTTTGAATACAGAACACTTAGTTCAATGCCCACCACATGGCAGCACTCCATAAATTATAATGAACTCAGAGCAAAGGAGGCTATGATAGAGGTATCGTCACCCTTTCTGTTTAAGTCATTTGTTAACATTGACCACTTTTGGGTTACTTTGCTTACTCCTATTTGCATATTTGGCAGGAAGCCTGGCAATGGTACAAAGAATATTATCAAAACCTTTCCACTACCACACCTTCACCAGCCCAGAGGCATATAGGTTCGCCATCTATGAGGACAGTGATGAGAGACCACCTCTGCTTAAGCTACACTTTTCCATCAATTTCCCTGATTGTCTTCTAAGGCGTAGACCTGGGGAAAACCCACAAGGGATTGAATGGTGACTACTTTGCGTCTCGCAGGTGAGTATTAATAACATTTCAGTACTGGATTTCAAATGCTATACTGGTTTCCTTAATATCACAAGACCTAAATCACACATAAACCATTCTAAAGCCAAATATGTTTGGGCTCAAAATGTGATACACTTATACAGGAGCAGATATCATTCATAAATACATAAACAAACATTCTTAAACGGAACAAAATATAAATTAACTCTAAATATGAATCTGTCACTCTTAATGATTAATTACAATTATGCAGGGTTTATAATACACATCTATGCCCATCTCATTTATTAAATTGAAACATAGAACAGATGATGAAAATTAGTTTCTCCTTTAAAAATAAACAGAAAAAGACTATCTGTATAGCCTCTTTGAAACCAGTTTATACTTGTCATAATGAAAGCAGCAGAGCAACACACAAAGAAGGGGAAAATCCGTTTTAAGATCCTAGGGCTAGAAAAGTTGTATTTCTAAATCTTAGAACAAATCTTCTATTTTCATTTTGATAGCTCCCTAACTTATATATCTTTAATGAATTTAAGAATGCTTTTTTTAATAAAAGATTTATTTATTTATTTATTTGACAGGGAACACAAGTAGGCAGAGAGGCAGGCAGAGAGAGAGAGAGAGGAGGAAGCAGGCTCCCTGCTGAGCAGAGAGCCCGATGCAGGGCTCGATCCCAGGATGCTGGGATCATGACCTGAGCTGAAGGCAGAGGCTTTAACCCACTGAGCCACCCAGGCACCACTAAGAATGCTCTTTCAAAGGTTAATTTATTTGTGCAATTTCTATAGGCATCATTTGGAATGATGTTTAATTCAGTGAGAAGAACCTATGTTATTCCACTATTTTCGCTTTCTGCTTAAGCTCAATCATTTCTGAAAAATATGGAAATTCAAGAAGTGATTAAGCAAGATGGTGAGAACCACCTATATTCAGAAAATTCTATTTTGTACAAAGAGGTGTTCAAAAATGTATGGAGTTCAAACTCATCTCAAAACTCACTATCTCTATAAAAGCATTGCTAATTAAATTTTTTTAAAAGGCAAATTCAAACAGATCTTTAAAAAATCATTTCTTGCTGCCAGTAGATATGAAAACCAGTGTTTTTAATTGAGAAGGTGGGGAAACAGGGTGAGGGAGAGTTACAGCTGATCGTTTTATCATCATCCGCACACAAATGTGTGTATGTATATATACGTATATATATATATATTCCTTGGTGTATTCCAAATATGACATAACAAAAATGTTTAATGTTAAAATTAAGAAAGCCAGGTCAACATGAATATTGAAAAATCATGTTGACAGTACACGTTCTTGATACGATGTAATGAAATGGCATTGACTACTGTGGTCTTCCTCCCCAAAACCCATAACCCCAATCTAATCATGAGGAAAATACTACACACATTTCAACAGAAGGGCATCTTACAATATATTTGAACAATCCTCCTCAAAATTGTGAAGTTCATCAAAAACAAGTCTAAGAAACTGTTACAGCCAAGAGGAACATAAGGAGACGTGACAAACTAAAAGTAATATAACATCCTGGAATAAAAAATATACATTAGCTAAAACTAAGGAAATCTGAATGAACTATGGACTTTAGTTGCCAAAAATAAGGAGACAGGTAGAGGGCATATGGGAACTCTCTGCTATCCTGAATAATATGAAGTGTATTATTTGTCAAAAAGTATATGCTCAATTTCAAAATATTTCTCTTGATTTTAACAATGTTTCTGTGCCTGAATTGCAAAACTTTAGCTATAAAGTTATTTTGTGTGCACCAGCCCATTTGTATATTCCTTAATTAAATTACAGTATTCTAAATTATGCAATCGATAAGGGCACTGACTCTAGAATGAGAATGTTGGTATTCAAATAAAGGCTTTGATGATTTTCAAGCAAATTATTTAAGTTTCACATCGCTTCTCGGCCTTTTGGCTAAGATCAAGTGTATTTAAGTTTCACAGCTCTCCATTTTTTTCAGCTAAAACCATGTTAACAATATTTGTTGCCTCACCACTTTTCTGTGGGGACTAAATCAGACAAGACAAATAAACCACAGATACCAGGTAAATATCTATTCACAAGAGCTGTTAGAATTATTTTTGTGGTGTGCACGAACTTCACCCGTGACACAATAGCTGCTCTTACCCTCTCATCGCACATAACCGTTAAATCTGATTATCTACTATATGTAAGGACACTGCTGCAGCTCTTGGACAGTAACCTGGGAATGCCTACAATCCTTGAAAGAAAAGCCTGTTATGTAACATTCACCCCAGCTGTCTTGTTGAGAGAATTTTTCCAAACTATAAAGAAGAGAAATAGAGCCAAAGAAGAGAATGACAGCCTCTCTAGGTAGAAAACACACAGATTACAATTTAGAGTTGTTAAAGTTGTTGGGTGGTGTGGATTTGTGCCGATAAGTTCCCTGACCATGGAGAGTTGCAGAGAAGTCCTAAAAATCTGCTGAGAATTCCTTCCTTCCTTGGTCAGCTTCAAAGCCGGGCTTGTGCAGGAAGACTCAGGGAGCCCTGCAGAGAAGAGCTGCTGGAGAGCTGTGGAGCTGAGCAAAGATCCAGAGGCCACACTGTGCCAAGGACAAGGAGGTTAGATAGGAGTCCAGCGAGAATGAAGAGATTTTGGTGACTATCCATGGCTTTTGGATGACGGCTCGAAAAGGCCATGCTTACAGCCTGGGAATAAAGACAAAACGGAACTGAACCTGACCTAACAAAGTTTAAACAGCCTCAGAAGATCAGGTGGATCTCCCAATAATAGAAATGTTTGCCAGAACAAATTTTAATATTCTTTGGAGGAAGCTAAAATAAGCTAGAGCCTTTAAAAAGTTTTATTACTCAAGTATGGCTTATAATAAA